TGGTGACCACTCTTTTGTATGCTGTAATGGAGGTTAGTGGGTGCACTGGATACCCTGGCTGCCATTGTGTGATATGCTGGGAGTCCAGTGCGCTCCTGTACCTTTAAGGAGGGGTGGGCTCCCTCAGGATCACCTGCCCTTGGTCTATCCATTAAATACATGTGCCTCTACTATGAGGACTCCCCCTTTTTGATTAGTGATACCTAGCCATGTTCCTGGCTGATAAAAGCCATTTTTAGACTGGGGCTGCTGACCACTGTTGTTGGTTAGCTGGCTGGCAAGTTGAACTGGGTAGCTTTAGTAGTTTGGTATAAAATCAAGCACCTAGGCATGCAGACTGCTTCTAAAAACATTTTTGAAAGAATGGGTCACTCTCAGGAGCTCAGTGGATTGAAGCGTGGTACCATGATAGGTTGCCACCTGTGCAATAAGTCCATCCTTGAAATTTCCTTGCTACAAAATATTCCACGGTCAGCTGTTAGTGGTATTATAACAAAGTGGAAGCAACTGGGAACAACAGCAACTCAGCACAACAACAGTGTGTAGAAAGCTTCATGCAATGGGTTTTCATGGCCAAGCAGCTGCATCAAAGTCTTACAACACCAAGTGCAATGCAAAGCATCAGATGCAGTGGTCTAAAGCACGCTGCCACTAGACTCTAGAGCAGTGGAGATGTGTTCTCTGGAGTGATGAATCACGCTTCTCTGGCAATCTGATGGATGTGTCTGGGTTTGGCAGTTGCCAGGAGAATGGTACTTGCCTGACTGCATTGTGCCAAGTGTAAAGTTTGGTGGAGAGGGTATTATGTTGCGGGGTTGTTTCAGGGGTTGGTCTTGGCCCCTTAGTTCCAGTGAAGGGAACTCTTAAGGTGTCAGCATACCAAGACATTTTGGACAATTTCATGCTCCCAACTTTGTGGGAACAGTTTGGGGATGGCCCCTTCCTGTTCCAACATGACTGCGCACCAGTGCACAAAGCAAGGTCCATATAGACATGGTTGAGCGAGTTTGAGAAGGAGGAACTTGACTGGCCGTCTCGTCCAACATCAGTGCCTGACCTCACAAATGCACTTCTGGAAGAATGGTCAAACATTCCCATAGACACACTCCTAAACCTTGTGGACAGCCTTCCCAGAAGAGTTGAAGCTGTTATAGCTGTTATAAATGTTCTATAGGAACAAGCTGTGTAGGGATGGAAAGGAACTGATATGGCTGAATAGGAAAGTTTTATATGTGATAAGGCAAAAAAACCAAAGCCTCCAAATCCCTTTATCTTAAAAGTAATAAAAAACGTCATTCCTGAAATGTAGAGAATTTTGATGAAATTGCAAAAACAAATTTAAGTTAGCAAAGATTACAGCTGTAAAAACGGACTGCTAATTATATTAAACACCATAAAGTTTTACAAGCATACATTTTCAAGACAAAGAAAATCTGATTATGAAATGTACAGTTATTATAAAGGACAAAGAAACTTCTGAAAATTTGCAAAAATGTATATTTATCTCTTATAACTAAGCAGTAGACAATGCCAAACTATGTGGAGAAGAGAAATAACCTGATTCCCCAACTCAGCATTACATGCTTAATTCATGAGAGGAGGTGGCAGTTATGCCTATTTAAATAACTCAGTTTATTAAGCTTGAAGGATTTTAGTTCACATGTAAAGATTGTTGTATTCAGCTAGCCAATTTAATTGCTTAAAATATCAATTATTTGGCATTATTGCTTTATGAATTAAGCCTTGAAATGGAAACCTATGACTCTGCATTCACTATATCTGGTCTCCCACAGTACACAGAACATAGAAATGCAATTGTTTTGATAAATAAAAACTGCTAAATAACTTTTGTCAGCAGTATATAGCAGTCATGTAACTTCTTTTAGTGGCTTCAGTGGTTAAAGCTTGTAGGAGGAGTTTTCATTCTCTCTGACTGTCCTAAGGGGCTGCATGACCCCTGACTTTCTGTCTGGACAGCACTGATTGGCCCTGTGCTGATCACATGCAACCCCCCCCCCCCAAAAAAAAAAAAGCTCTATAGCAATACACACCAAACTGAGCATGTGTAGAGTGCCTCCTAGGGCTCTGTACTATCAGCAGATGGATTTGGAACTGTGGAAGAAGGGAAGGATCAGAGGAGATAGGATCAAACAGTCCTTTTACACAATGTGAAATATTACCCTTTAGGTTCCACAGTGAGTATAACAAGCATGATTTACAGAATACAAAGACTGATTTTACTGTTGTGGGTTTAGTAACACTTTAAGGCCATGTTGGAGAATTTACTGGCAGGTAGGCTTCTTTTTTGCAGACAAGGCTTTTTGTATCTTCTGCAATATAACCTCTCTTACTAAGAACCAGCAAACACAAATGCTCCTGCGCTTGGGGATGGACTCGATGCAGGCTACAACCACATAAGGAATGTCCTGGAACATGCACACCTTGCTGCCCTCAAATGGACCGGGGAAATCCAAGTATACTGAATGAGGAAAGACAAAACAGAGGGCGCACAGGCCTAGTGCATTACCATAAAAAAATGTTTAATAAAAAATAAAGTATGTGTTGTACTCACAAACGACAATATAGTCAAGGCACATCATAAAGAACAGCTGGGTCAACACCGCGCTGAGTAACAGTCCGCAATAGGGAGTTTAGACATCCAAAACGTTGACGCGTTTCGAGGACTTGCCTCTTCCTCAGAGCCACTGGCCCAGCTGTTCTTTATGATGTGCCTTGACTATATTGTCGTTTGTGAGTACAACACCTACTTTATTTTTTATTAAACATTTTTTATGGTAATGCACTAGGCCTGTGCGCCCTCTGTTTGTCTTTCCTCATAACCTCTCTTACTGCCTGCCAGCAATTGTACACTCTCGGCATGCCTGGGGTGCTGAGATGAAGCAACTCCTGAGCACTTGTGTAGGAGTTACTTTATCCCAGGCCAGCCAATCAAGACACAGAAGATACAAAACTTGGAAAGACACAGGCAAAGATGTCAGAAGTGGCTTTGGAACAAAGGACTCAATAAACTACTAAGTATAAATTCTTCAGTGTGTCAAATGCATGGAGGGATTTTAAGGCATATACTGTATAAGTACTTCTACTTGGATGGATTTTTTAAAGTGTTCACTTTTAATTACTTTTATTTTTCTTGTGCGTTACAGCTGTAAGTGTAATAATAAAATTCTGTTGTCGGTTTTTAAAAGTGATCCATACTTTGGAAGCTGCTTCTACCATGGGCTTCCCCTCTCTTTCCTGCCTAGATGGCACCTCATGAACAAACATTCAGTTACAAGGACATAGCCTACATAACCACGCTGGCGTTGTCTGCTCTCTCTCACAGGACACTCTGCTCAGGTGTTGCCATGAGAGAGAGGACTGTGCTTGTATGGTTATATAATATGCATTCTCATAGCCAAGTGCTTGTGTGCAAGATGCTGGGGCCACACATACAAACAGTTGGCCATCCTGTCAACTAGGTAGTACATGGAGGGGAAGCAGTTGGTGAACTAACCCTTTCAGGTGAGAGTTTGATCTGATTCCCATTCTACAATATATGGTAGCAATGGCAACATCAAGAATGGCATTTCAAAAAGGACTGGATGGGTGACTACAAATGAGTGAGTGTTTTAAAATGAATGCTATCCACAATTATAATTGCTAAGAATAATACAGTAATATTTTTTCCAGGGACTCAACCTGATTGGGAGGGCAGAGTTTTTCCCCTTGTAAGACAAGGTGGTCTATAGTTGCCGATGGGGTTTTTGCCTTCCTCGGGACCAAAACTGTAGGGGTTGAAAGACATTATTTGGAAACATTCAGTCCAAATAATTGTGTAGCTAGAAGTGTAATTAACACTTGAGTTATAATGTGTGTGTGATATACATTTATATATTGTAGATAAAAGAAAGTCGGCAGCTCGATCTTCCGCAATAAATGAGTTTATTAATTCAAGTGTGGTACAAAATAATACAGGACTTACACGTTTTGGTGTGTAGCCTTAGTCATAGCCGGTCATACATTTATATATTAGATAGATATTCTGGACCCAATGGTATATTAAAAATAAATCAAAGCATTATGTCAAAAAATGTATTTTGTACTGTGTGGCTGATGTGTCTTGATAATGACATGCTTAAAGTGGTAGTAAACCACAAAACAAATAATAACAAATTTCCCCTGCAAAATATAGCATAATGTGCTAATATGCATTGCATACTAGTACGTTATGAAAGACTTATACCTTAGAATGAAGCCCTCCAGAGGCACGCTGTCACCACTGAAGGCGCATTCATCTTCACCCGATCTTCCTTCTGGGTTCGCGGGTGTTTGACTGGCCGAGCTGCGATGACGTCACTCCCGCACATGCCTGTGGGAGACACAGCCGTGTCACAGCTCTCTCAATGGACGATGACATCTCAATGGTGATGTCACCGGCTGCAACGATAGTAAATATCTCCTAAACTTTTCCTGTTTAGGAGATATATATTGTACCTACAGGTAAGCCTTATGTAAGCAGGTAGGCTGTACTACCACTTTAAGAGCTGAACAAATATATAAATCAATTCACAGGTAAAACAGCCTTACCATATGTATTTCATCTATGTGTTTAGCTGTTTGCTTAGAGTTCAGGGTTAGTTGTGTTGCCTGTTTTTAATTTGCTATTGAATTATTTTAGAATATCTCTGGATTTGGATGGATTAGTATAGCTTGATTTAAAAAAAAAAATTGTTTTAGAGAAAAAGTAGAGATTTCACAACTGCTATATAAAATTTGCTAGCAAGCTGTGACAGGAAAGAGAGCATGCAATAAAAAAAAATTACAGCAGCCTTTATGCACTGGCACTGTTAGAGAGTATAGCAAAAGGAATAGCATGGTCACATAAAGTCAAAGGTTTCGTTTCTAATTCTTCTTTATGCTCCTTTATATGTTGTTTTTTCTTTTGGTGTAGCATGTTTTATCACTTCCTTTATTACATCAAACAAATTATTTTCTTTTAGATCCAGTTTCTCGAAAAAGTGTAAAGTCTGCTCACAGTACCAGAAACCGATACTCAAGCCAGTGGACACTCACTAAATGCCAGAGTTCCACTCCTGCCAGAACTCTGACCTCTGATTGGAGGACAGTGGGGTCACAACATGGCATTACTGTGACTGAGAGTGATAGTTACAGTGCCAGCCTTTCTCAGGATACAGGTTTGTTTATTAATTATTTGCTAATTCTGTTTTTCTGTTTCAATGTTTTTATTGAAATTGGGAGGAGTTATAACAAGCCAAGTTTTTCCCACGCAGGGGCGACATCAAATAGGCCTATAAGTTAGATTATATACGTAAATGGGTATCAAAACAGCGAACCGTTACCAGGGCTAGTAAGGGCCAGGTAAAGAATTAAATGTCATAGTCTATATTGCATCATTCCCTAGAGGATAGCAGTCCTTGGTAATAAACTTCATGTCAGAATAGGAAAAGATCAAGAGGACACAAAGGAGGAGAAGAAGAGAGAGAGGGAAGAAGGAGGGAGGAGCCCCAGGAAAGGGCAAGTGCCGTGGATGTGGGATCCAAGCGGGGAGGATTATAGTCAACCATAACTAGTCGGGGGCAAGGACAGGAAGGAGTAACCTATCCACGGTTCCCAGACTTTCAAAAATTTTGCATGCAAATCCTTCAATATGCTGGACATCTGCACATGAACCATCAAAGCAGTCATTCTGGCTGGAAAGCAATAGACTGAGTCTTCCAGGCATGGGCAATTTCTGCTGAGGAGCGAAAAGGCCCCGTATACGGCAATGTAAAAGGGCCAGCTGAGCATCCTGACAAAGTATCATATGGAATAATGTCTGCAGTAGGCCAAAGACTCTAGACTAGAAACCAATCAGACCTGGGCATGATCACCATGTATGTAGGACATCCCCATGCTGGTCACATCTCCAAAAGCATCTATCACTGCTGCCAGGATAAACATGGATAAGTCTAGCCGAGACCCAGTACCATTGCAGGAGTACTTTATAGGTAGCCTCAAGGATGGTGGTGTTAAATGAGCATTTCGCTATCGTTGTCCAGGCCTTGCTCCAGTCCTCCTGCTCAATACTAGATCCAAGATCTTGCTGCCATTGAGTCACTTAGGAAAGGGTCAACAAGGATGACCTACCATTAAGAGAGGTGTAAAGTGAAGAAATAAGGCCAGGGACCCCCCAGGAAATGTAGACAGGTATGCTCAAAAGATGTCTTACGAAAGGGGTAGGTGAAGGCACAACAGAGGGATGAGATCCAGTGCTGCAATTGCAGATACTGAAAATTGCTAATTCTGTTTTAAGTACAGTGCCCCGGTTACAAGACAACAGAAATGCCTTTTCTGGCATCACTAATTCAGTCACAAACCCGTGCAGCAAGTGAAAGTGAGAAAACAGTTTATCTCTAAACTGGTTCAAAGTCAGTGACTGGAAGTTTTGAAGCCAAAGTATTAGAATGGCAGCCAGGAACAATGAATGCCTACATATTTCTTGTTTAACTTATTTCCTTTAAAGTATTAAAGGCAATTTAAAAAAATAAAAAAACACCAAGTCATATTTACCTGCTTTGTGCAATGGTGTTGCAGAGAGCAGCCCCAATCCTCCTCTTCTCAGATCCCCCTCTGGCTCCTCCCTCCTGCCAGGTGCTCCCAGAGCAAGCAGCTTTCTATGGGGGCACTCAAACTGGCTCACTCTTGAGCTGCTGCTCTGCATGTCCATTCACACATAGAGCCATGGCTTGGCCCTACCCCCTCTCTCTCCTCATTGAGAGAGGAGGGAGAGACCATGGAGAGCCGAGGCTGCACACAGGTTTTTTTCTTTTATGCACAGAATGCATGAAGTTAAAGAAACTTGAGCCTTACAACCACTTTAAACTCTCAGTGTAACTCCGTTAAATGCAGTCTAGATGTATGAAGACAAAAGGTATTTAATGTCTTACGTCTTTTCAGTTCATTTCTTTTCTAAAGCAGCTACAGCCTGAGTTGAAAAGCTTGTCACATAACAGCAGCTGCAGAGTGGGACCCTTGTTTTAGGTGGGGAAGCAGTAGTCTCTCTGTAGATGTCCCGACATGCCCCCTGCTTACCCAGACCTTTAACCTGTGCAATCAGAAAAGCTTGTGTGCCTTGCTGATTGCAAGGCTTTGGCCCTGACTTAATAGGTGGTGTGTCTTGTCCAGATCCACCAATAAAGCAGTACAGACAGCCCTTCTATACAGGGCCCAGGCCCCATCAGTTCCACAGGGAGGCCTGGGCACCTGCTGTACTAATTATTGCTGAAACCGATCACCCTGTGGCTACCAAAGGGAGATGATTCTGGTATCTGCAACCCCAAACCCCCCTTACTTATATGCCGATCCCCCTTTGTGCCCTCTTTCCCAAAGTGCTGCTAGCTTCTCATCCTCTCCCTTCCGCTGGCTGCAGTTGCTGTGTGAGCGAGGGGCCAGTAAATACGTCATATATACTGACCCCTTCCTTTCTTGAATGAATACAGTGGGCAATTGGTACCCGATCACTCCTGTGCTCATTCATACCTGAAGCAAAGCAAGCTGTTTTTATCTATGCTTCAATTTGTAAATGAACAAGGAGCCTCTGTGCAGAATCCTTTCTTTTTTTCCACTCTCCAGTGCAGCTGAGGCTGCAAAGAAAGGGATTGGGATTGAGGTATCTGTGTCCTCGGTCCCTTTCTCTGTCTCAAAAGAGAGACATCAGAAGTCTGTTTAGATATGTCACCAAAGCCACTCCCCCAACAGAATTGGTTGTGTTTGACAGGGGCTGTTATGCCTGCCACAGGTGCAAAGCAAAGCACTACAGCTGTGCTATGTGTACACCCCCAGCCACTGCTTCTGCAGCTAAATTGTGGAGTTTTACTGCACCCAACGCCCCATATGACTGAGCCCTAGGAGCTCATTTACACATGTAAATTTTACACACGTAAATTTTTGGAATTTTGTAAGTTATGTTTTGACTATAATGATTTTAGTGTATTTTTTGTTTTGAGATTTTCTAGGGCTGTATGGGGCCCTGTGATTTCAAACAGCAGCCCTGGCCTGACCTCTGGAGAGAAATCACTGTTTTCACTTAGAAAGCAAGGGTCCTGCTCTGCCCCATGCTGGCAGGAAGGGGCAGTAGGCTCTAAACTCCTTCTAAGGCTGCTTTACAGAATTAAAAAATGTCGTATTTTACACAGCTTTTGTTTTAATGCATCTGGAATGCATTTAGCTGATTTAAAACTTATATTGGGCTTTAAAGAATAACTCTCTGGTATTAAAGTATTACTCTCTGCAGTGCGTACATCTAAAGATGATAAAATACATTGTTCTATGTTTGGATTATATCTTAAAAAAAAAAGAAAGAAAACAACATATGTACTGGGCATGGTCTGCTTATTGACATGATAGATGTACATAATAAATAAAAAATATAAAACCCTGTTTTGAACATCACTTGTCTTAAACTTCTATTCCTGAATGCCCAATGTGAGTGAAATATCTACATGAGGTATCTAACCATCCCTTGTCTCTCAGATAAACTTCATACATGTTGATGCGATTAGTTCATACATTTATAATTTTTTTTGTTTAAATGTATTTTTATTGAAAAAAATTATCACACGTTTTAACAAAGTATGGCATATAGCAATATACCCATTAAAAATTGGACATTTGTGGGTTCGCATAACAAAATTCTTCAGTGTGTACAAATCTAAAGATGAGCAGTTACCGACAAATGATGTCAAATGGGATGGATAGCAAGAGAAAAGAAATGGGCAGTAAGATCTTGTTATGTAAGTAGGAGGCTAGAAGAAATGAGCAAGAAAGAAAGGGGATAGCATAGAGGAATGGGAGCACAACGGTTAGCCGAGGTTGATTTCTGGGAGATATCTCCAGTATATATTCTACAAAGATGCATCAAAGTGGACCCCGGGATCCCACGGCTGTTCAAAAGCAGTAAGAGTGTTAGAGTTTATACATTTTAAAATATTGTTTTACAGGGGTTTTTTTTGCAATATATATTCTTTGTTTTAAAAATAAACATTTAGTATATGACCAAAGATTCCCAGACTGCTATGGGTTATCTAAAGATACAGAACAGCAGATGCTGAGAGGCTGAGCTAAGTGCCGCTCAAGACTCTGGGGTGAACCCTGACTTTGAAATCAGGATCTTTCCCCAGCCTGGATTGGCTGAGTGATGTCAGCGTACACAATATTATTATATAATACAAAATATTATTATATACTACATCATATTTATGATGACAAAACATTTAGAATTCTTAGGATAGGTTAGAAATTACAGTTTAGATATTAAACATAGTACAGCTTCCATTTAATTTATATTTCATGCTGTCTGGTCTGCGACAGCGATTCAGACTCCAATGTGGACAGTCAGTTGCATGCTCTGGAAAACCGCACAGAGCATTTATGACATGCTGTGTGAATGTTTCAGTTGCTGTAAACAATATTACTGGAAGGTATTTGCCAGTGCTGAATCAGATTGCACTTCAAAGATTGCTCAGACCTGAGTCACTGTCCTTTCCCCCTGGACTGGCCAGGCAATATGAATTATTGATTAAACTAAATGTCAGTAATCAATATAATTAGAATGTTGTGGACAGAAGTAGAACATGTCTAGTGCAGTTAAAGGAAAGGTATCACACAACTGAGCAACTCACATGAATTTCTCCATTTAGTATATAAAAAAATGAAAAAGCACTTCTGAGTAATGTATGAAAAAAAAATCACCCAGTACTGTATTCACTTCATCGATCTGCCATGCCAAACATAGAATAACCCTAAAATCCCTTGGAACAGAGTTATATACATATGTATCCAACAGAGCAAGGACTAAAGCCAGCCATACATGGATCAATTCTTGGCCAGTTTAGCAGGGACCAGCTGAGACTTGATCCATCTATGGGCAAGCTGGTTGTACTGAAGTCAGTCCATCGATCAACTTCAGTACAACCAGCCTGTCTGGTTTTTTCACACAAGCACAGCCAGTAGTTATATCCACCAGCAGTGATCATTGTGTTCTGCCCGAAAGGAAGGCTCCCTGCCTGCAGAATGCAATAGAGCTGCAGGAGGGATTCCCCCATCAACATTAAATGAGTTCATAGGCAAAATTTAACAATTTTATTTCCAGCAACCTGTGGTGCAGAAAAGAAAGTTGTTTAATGTATGGCCTGCTTTAGTCTTCCTATTGGCACTGTGATGTCCTTTCAGCATACACAGCTAATTATTTTTGTAGTATAATTGCAAATCTTTTTTGTCTCCTTTATATTTTAGTGTCTTTAATTTGTCTGCATAGCTATGATGAATCCATTTTATGACCATTTCTCTGTTCTCCAGACAAAGGTCGGAACAGCATGGTCTCAACAGAGAGTGCATCCTCCACATATGAAGAACTGGCACGTGCCTATGAGCATGCCAAGCTTGAAGAACAGCTACAGCATGCCAAGTTTGAGATTACAGAATGCTTCATCTCAGACAGTTCCTCAGATCAAATGACAACAGGAACCAATGACAATGGGGACAGTATGACCTCCATGAGCACTCCTTCTGAGCCAGGCATTTGTCGCTTCACTGCATCGCCTCCCAAACCACAAGACAGTGATCCAAGCAAGAATGTGGCTGTGCCTATCCCTCACAGAGCAAAAAGTATGTTCCTAAAGTTTCCTGAATTGACTTTGTCTGCTGGCTACATATGTCTGTATACAGTAATCAGTGCCATCAACCAGCGATGCTCTATTTCAGTCCTGTGTCCCTGTCAGTTAATATTTGTTGGTGTAGTTCTCTTTATACCGATTTTTAACTAATGCAGCTGTACTGGCCTGTGCCCTGTGCCAAATTTTAGTAGAGTGCCTTTGAATCCTTTCACTGATTGCACATCTTGTAACCAATGCAAATGAACAGGAAAACTGTAATTTAAGCTCTGTGGCATGGAACCTCAGCTAATTTGTTGACATACTTCTATCACTTCAATAATGTACACTTAGTCCATATTCTAAAACACAGAGAAAAATGTAAAGCCTATATTTTTTAGCACACCACAGAGCACATACTTTATTTGTTGGGTTAATAGTTGGACAATTTGGTTCAGGTATGCGCTTCTCTCTTGTAGACCACGGCACTGAATGAGTCTAGAGGAGCAGAGTAGCCCTGGGCATCTATCACAATGCTACTCCCACTGTAATATCCAAGTGTTGTAGACCTGCAAGCACCCACCTCAATTATTTCCATCTCTGAGATCTATTTACTTTCAACACTGTTGGGCAGCAAGTGAAGAGGTTGCTTGGTCTATGAAACCTGTGTAATATTATAGATCCATGCAGAGATCAGGACATCCTGAAGGATGCCTCCTGCTATTTTATCTCTGTACAGGGCAGCTGGGTGACGTGCAAAATAGTACAACATTTCACATCAATACAGCTGCATGGATGAACTCAGTAATAGCTGCCATTCATCCTCACTTCCATGGACTGCACAAACAAACAAAAGATTTAGGGTTTACTTGAACACACTTTAAAATATATGTTGAAGGGACAGTCCCAAGTTTGTAGAACTTTTGTTGTTAGTAATTGCTTTCCATAGAAATGTTTTAGGTTGTAATACCATTGAGCAATAGCACAGTAAAATCACACCTTTCCTGTTTGTGAGAGTTCTTTCTTATTACCAAGGTCCCCTTTGATGGTGTTAAATGTATTTAAAATAAGGATTTCAATTCCAAAATATACTTACATTACAATTTAATACCAATGCCACAACAAATTATACAGTAATTAAAGACACTTTAGGATGATATTGTGCAATATAGGCTAGACTATACTGTACGTTACATAAATACTTATACACAATATACAAAAGTGTTAGAAATTGGACATTATGTACTCCTCTACTGGCCACCTGATAATGCCAAGAAAATGCATTGTTAAGTTGGTCGTACACTAGTCGATTTATAAACGAACATTCATGCAAATGATCGTACAAACATTCATATGAAAATTCTCATCAGTGCATTCTTTGACTTGAACATTGTTCGAAGGTCTTTCAATATTTCCTTTGCTTTTAACATTTGACTTCTCAAACAAAAAACACATTTACTGTTAGAATATAGTTTGTTCAAGAAAACTTTTCCATCCTGTTCCTTTGAATTTTCTCATCACTGCAGTCGAAAACAAACATCAATTTGACCCCAAAATCAAACAAACAATGAAAGTTTTCGAACAAAATTCTTCTAGGGTATGGCCAGTTTTAGTGGACCTCAAGCTCTGGAGATAGACATGACTAACATAAACATTATGTATGGGGCTACAGAATGTCTAGCTGGTACATACTGTGACTTTAAAATACATTTGTCTCAAACCCAAGCAATTCAAACAGAATACTCTGTATGATGAAATAATGCATAATCAGAAAATTACGTGTTGAAATTCTGATTAGATCCAAAGATATGAGCAACTGAAGGTATAGGCAAATGTCGACTTTTACTGTAAAAAGGCCCTACCCTTTCTTGTCTCATAAACTTCATTATTGCTCAGTGAAGCCCCTTATCATAATAAAGCAGCCCTTTATGAAAATACATAACGCACTTTACTGACAGCCCCCACCTCCCAAATAAAAACACTCAAAGCTGCCTAATATAAAGCATTATGAGGGAACAAAATACCTTGAACCTGACTTCTGTCCTTGTCCTGGAGATGCCGGTAACATCATTGTGCCTCTCCACTGCCTCCTGGGAATGTTGGGTGCTCCTGCAATGTATGTTGGTAAATTTGAGATTCATAGACATTTTTAAAGTTGAGTGATATACAAATTGGTAGATCTCAACTGGTTGAAACTGGAAGGTACTTGGGAGGAGCCCCTGAGCAATAAACATGAAGCTAGAGGGGAAATTCTTGATTTACTTTTCTCTATATCCTGTACATTCTCCTCCCAGTTTATGTGAATAAGGATCCTTTTTTTTTTTTTTTGGAGAACTATGCCTAAAATGTTACATTAGACAGTTAATTAAACTTTTCCTAGAATGTCTTTAATGCTATACTCATAAATAGCCACTGCTCATAGTGACTGTAGCTAAAGAGTTTAAATGATTACATCAGTATGTAATCTGCGCTTAAACCTAAAGTTAATCAAAACTAATACAAAGCATTTTTTTAGCTTTAAAGGAGATGTACAGGAAAATAGAAACAAACATACGTACATACTCACCTATATGGCTGCAGCATCACTTGAGGCTGCAGCTGGCGTCTGCCGGGGGACCAAGAACCGTGTGATCACATGACCGCTGATCACTCAGTTATTCATCTTCATTCAGTGGACAGAGGTGACTGTCAGTCACCACTTTTTGCTCTGCTCCTCCAGCACTCACTTGAGTGCCAGACTGTGGAGAGGCCAGGAGCAACTGGTTCAGGTTCTCAGGAGTGTGTAAAGAGGCTGGGCCAGCTGCTGCTCAGGTATCTAGGTGGATCCTGACATTAAAGCCGGCTGTTGGCTGAATCTGGGTCACAAGAGTGCAAAAATAAGTGCATTCCTGTGACCCAGAAAAGAAGCATGGCCAAAACAGCTTTTGTCATATTTCCCGTTTAAACCACTTTAATTCTGACAGGTGTGGACTGCATGATCATGAGGTAGAGAATGTTGTTGGGAACATTTCCTATTGATGCTTCTTCATAGCACATTTTTATTACAATCCAACTAAACTAATGTATTGGTTTTAGGTGTTATCTAATTTAAAGTGTCATATTTTGACTAGCTCTTCTTTCTGTTCTTATATAATCTTTTTTTTGTTTGCAGGTGAATACTGCAATCTTCCATTGTATGTAAAATCTGATCCCCACTTTCGTAAGCCTGACCTTCATGACCCTTGTCCTGTAGTGCCTCCAAGAGAGGCCTCTATGCGTAATCTGAGCCGCGGTTATCACTCACGCCATCTGACTCTAGAGCCGGGTGCTAAACCCCCACCTGGCCTGTCCCACCCAACTCCATCTGGTGGGAACTTACCTCAACGGACTCTTCACATGGCTGGTGCTTCGGCCTCTGCTCCATCAGCCCCCACAGCCACAGCACCATCTGCCCCCGCTGAACCCGCTGCCTCTGCCGGACCTTTAGAGAATCGCCTACCTGCCCAGCACAGCAAGATGGGTGGCTCTCGGGACTCTTTACTGGAAATGAGCAATTCTGGAGGTGGCCGGGCACAGAAACAAGGAGCTGGAGCCTATTCTAAATCTTACACTTTGGTCTGACACCCACCCCTTTCGACACTTCTATCCCTACATACTCACAGACTGCAGAAACCCTTCCCCCTGCGCAGTGTCTTGGCTGTATTTCTATATTTTGAAAAAACATTTAAAAAAAAAGGACAAATTGAAAATTTAAAACAAAAACTTGGTGATAAAAGACACATTTTTTGTATGAAAAATACCTATTTTCTTCTTCAGGATAAAAACTAATAAGAAAAGAAATCTGTATTTTATCTGTGACACATGAGAGTGAAGAGAAGAGAGAGAGCTGCATGCAGAATTCTCGGAGGTTGCCTGAGTGTGCTATATGTTAAGTGATGCTGAAGAGTGTGTGGAGACTATGTTTCCAGGAATAAAGAAATGTATTCACATGGCGTTGACATTCTCAAGAGGTTTATCTGTTTGTCCAACAGCTTCACAGTGAACCTGTCACCAAATGTATTATTCTGTATTAAGAGTTTTTTAAATGAATAAACCATTTGTATAAATTGTTTTATCTGCACTATTGAATGATGGTGAATGCAAGGTGACAGGTGCACTTTATGAAAGATGAGTTTAGTGGTGTGTCTGGCACATGAGACAGATATTACTGTCTTTTATTGAATGTGTGTATTCTTTGAAAGGTTTCAGTTTTGTATTTTGCCTTATTTACTATATTTGTTGCAGGAATTGCTAGATGTTCACAGTGAACAGCCCCCATTTTCAGTGTCCATTTGCCTCAGGTCTGGCTTTAGAGTAAAATGAGAGTTTCCATTCTGGAAAACAGAAAAGGTACTAACTAAACCAGTACATATAGCTAAGCTAAAGTGCTGTAACCTATAATGACCAGTTGGATTTTTTCTACTGCCGTGACAATACTGAAAGAATTGCCATACATACTTTCAAACCCTTATTCCCCCATTCAAGCTACACTGCACTAATCCCTGCCCCAGCTGCGGGCTTCGCCATTGTTCACAGCCAATCCTTTGAAAATCTCTTCAGTGCTAGTCTCATTTGCACATAGACTTGAATAAGGCCATATACCAAGTCTTGATGTTTTACCCATCGGGGGGCTGTAGATATGTTTTTCAATGTCAGGCTGTTAACACCAGAGGAAGCCATTGCTCTGTAATGGAGGTATGTAAGCTATTAGGGGGCTGGGATATGAATACAACTATAATACACTGTCCTGTCTGCTCTATAGGACATGCCTGATTGTGGAGAACTGCTTGCCCAAACTGTGAGAATTTCTTAGATAAAAAAGTAATTTGTTCTTTTTTTCACTTTAATAAGCTTAGCGCTAACTGTTTCCTAAGCCACAATAAAGCAGTTAGATTTGGTAAAAGCCGAGTATGTTAGGGAACAGTCCAGGCAAAATGAATTCAAAGGATACTTATGATCAGACAACATGCTACCCCAAAATACACCTGAGTGATGATTTATTTATTTCAGGTACTTATATAGCAGCGCTTTACATATATAAATATATATATATATATATATTTTGTACATTCACATCAGTCCCTAACCCTCAAGGGGTGTACAATCTAAGGTCCCCAACTCACATTCATACATACACATACCAGGGCCAATTTAGACAGGATCCAATTAACCTAACAGCATGTTTTTGGAGTGTGGGAGGAAACCGGAGTACCCGGAGGAAACGCACGCAGACACAGGGAGAACATGCAAACTCCAGGCAGGTGGTGCCGTGGTTGGGATTCGAACCAACAACAACCCTAGTGCTGCCAGGTGGAAGTGCTAACCATTTAGCCATTGTGCTGCCCAATTTAGTCACTGTGGTGCCCAGATGATGATGCTCGTTTGTACAAGCTCTGCCCCTTATGCCATGTGGTTATTTTAATGGAAGTTACAGCTATAATGCTCTTCTGGAGGCAGTATGGGGTCTACTTTACATACAGAACTCTTTTTAATTTTTACTTATACGGAGCACCAAATTTACTGAACTATAGGGACCTTATAACTCCTCTCAATATCTCCTGCACTCCCCCCCCCCCCATAGTTATATTTCTGAATTCAGCCACAAGTGTCCAGGCATGAGGCACAAATCAAAAAGCTGTAGAGCAGAGCAAAACATTCCCATCCTTTACAGCCATGGAACCCACCACATGGTGTTGCACATGTGATCAGTTATGACACCAGCCATTTGATAGCTTGACAGTTCAGTTGAGAGCAGAAGCAACTGTGACGGTTATTTTCATGCCTTGAATGTAATTGTTTCGGGAAACCATTAAATCGGGTTTAATTCAGCTTTAACACCAGGAGACAGATCTTTATTTTCAGCCATGTGACTGAAATTTTCAAATATTATTGAACTTAACTGAAAATAACTGTCACTCTTTTGAAAATAAGGATACTAATTTTGGTGTGTTAGCTTTGAGAACTGATCCTGTGGACAGAACAGGAAATTAAAATAAATTGCTATTACATTTTAGTATATTTTGAGCCTTGGTGCTGTCTTAGGCATCTCAGTGCCATAATGGTAAATTCAGCCCTGCTGATGATATCAAGGAAATGTTGCTGCTATGTATGTGGGCACATCATTAAGCTGTAATGTTTTGTATAATCACTTGTAGCCTAAATTACGGGCCTCTTTCAATGCTTCTAGGCAAGACTGCAGCTGTGCTGCTTTCCTCTCTTGCTTCATACAGGTGAGGAAGACTGCAGTATATTCACAGACAGTACAAAGCCAAAAAAATGCAATACTAAGGTATTGATTAACACAGCTCTGATCCTGGACCATTTGGAAAATAAGAATAACAGCCATGACAGGAGTGTAAGTATTTGGATAGCTGCATGCAAAATATGAATTACATGATAAAATATATTCATTTAGCAGGCAGGATTGATCCTCTGTCAATAAAATGCTGCTTACAGGTATAAAGTGCAGGCACTTTCAAAAGTATTTTTTTAAATACTAAATTTAGAAAAAAATGCAAACAATCTTACCTAAGTACAATACCTAATGTTTTAAAACCTTTTTTTAAATTTACATTTAATAGACTCTCTGCATCTTCTAATAACGACAAATACCCCAGTAGCTAGATGTCATGTCATCTTTGTCTAAGATATAAATATCCTGAAGGAGCACTGCACCACATTTATTATTTATAGCAAGAAAATGCTTTTATCACTCTTACCATTTTGTGTTTGGTAATGCTGGCAAGTTCCCTCTTCCATATTTGTGTGTTTTTTTAATGATAGTCTACTTTTTAGGGTTCATTCACACTTGCAAGTGCACCTGCTGGGTGATTAGATGTGAGGACTCCAGCAGGGGCTACCAAGATTAGCTGCAGAGGCAGCCCCATTGAAAGCAAAAGAAGCTGTCGGTTCCTACGCCCACTCACATGTAATTGCTCCTGCAGCGATCACATGAATCTGATCAGCCTTGGACACAGACAGTCTGGGGTTTATTTACTAAAGCTGGAGAGACCAAAATCAGGCTCCCTTCTGCATAGAAACCAATCAGCTTCTAACCTCAGCTTGTTCAATGAAGCTTTGGCAATGAAACCTGGAAGCTGATTGGTTTCTATGCAGAAGGGAGTCTGATTTTGGACTCTCCAGCTTTAGTAAATAAACCCCTCTGCGTCCAAGATGAATAACTCACATGGGGTGATCACTGCATGAGCGATTGCATGCGATTGGGCTCAATTAGGTGTGGGCGCTAGTAGCCTTCTATTACTCACAGCTAATCGTGGAAACCCTCGCTGGGGGTTCTCACATCTAATCTCCGAGCTGGGGCATTTGCAAGTGTGAATGCACTCTAAAGTGTAAAAATAATTTCCTTTAGGTGAACTATATACATTGCAAGGATTTCAGAAACATTGTACCAGATTCCTACCTGTACCTGTTCTCTGTACTGATGAAAAAGTTATTTGTTTCACCATGTCCTGATTTCTGAATGGGAGGGTCAGACCACATTATATCCACCTGAGCAAATCTCATGCTGTGTTCATGTGGTGTCAGGCACATGAAAAATACAAGGGTTTGCTTTCTATTGTCCTCCTCAGTGGTCTCCAAACTGTGGTCCAGGGGAGGCCAAAGGTGGCCTTTTGTTTGCCTTTACCTGGCCCATGGAGCACTGTTCCTCCCACTGCCACCAACAACATGGCATAATTCCTGCCACTGACATCAACAATGGGGCACTATATCTTCCACTGACCTTAACAATGGGACACTTCCTCCCACTAACATCAACAATGGGGCATAATGCCTGCCACTGATAACAATGGGGCATAATGCCTGCCACTGATAACAATGGGGCATTTTTCCTCCCACTGACATCAAGGATAGGGCACCATTCCTCCCCAAATAACAAAGGTGGGCCACTTTACTCCCATTGATGCCAGGATTTCCAATTTCTAATTCCAATGGCTACAATGTGCCCCCAGTAAAGTCTTAGGGACAGTAAACTTTGAAAGTTTGAAGACTGGTGACCTACACGAACAGCCCCACAAATGTACTTACAGCTCGGACAATTCAAGTTGAGAAATGTATACTGGATTTTTCAAATTGTAATACCACAAAGATCTTTACCCTCGTTCATCCTCCACAAACCATAACCATTAGTTCTAACAATTTCCTACAGGAGATGGCTGTGAATGGAATGAGGAGGGGGGGTCTTCGGACATCGCATATGGCAATATCATGAGTCAGACACCACACAAATACACAATCCTTGTTCTGTTGAAGAAGTCGGCAGTGCATGCATCCCTTAACTAGGCAAGCATTTGGGAATATCTCACCAAAAATGAAACATTTATTACAAGGTATTGGTGCAGAGGTCTGAGAAAAGCAGTGAACCAATCACATAAACAGGCAACAAAACATCGGAGGCATTTCTGCTCATTACCTTTTTTTTCTTAATTATGTGGCCAGGCTACAGACATTCAACTATTTTCATATTCCTATAACTCCCAGCTGTCCAACATTTAGAGGGATGTTCCTCTTTTGGAACTGAATCTCTCTCCCTATTTCTATCCCAATTTCCCCTTCTATGTCTG